AAAGGAGTGGTAAGATATTCTTAAAAAAAGTAAGTTCAAATACGAGTATATAATTATTGGGTATTGTAGTATTAACGTATACAGTACAATGAATTTAAAATTTATATTATAAAGATCCTTCGAAAACGTAGAATGAAAGATATTAAAATAGTAACTAAACTTATTATTGATACTTGGCACGATATGCATTGATAATATAATATTCCATTGAAAATCCATGTTTGTATTTCGGCAATGTGAAAGCCACGGAAAGAAGGTTAGACAAGGATAGCAATAGTACCGTGTGTTAGACAAGGAAAGCAGTATGGATAGACAAGGACAGAAAAAAAAGCGACAGGCGAAACTAACGCCATCTTGTGTTTGGCGACGCGAACTAACGACTCGTTAATAGGATAACAGAATATAAACAGAGGTATTAGACAAGGAAAGCATTAGTGTGCGAGAAAGACAGAGAGAAAACGCTTCCTATTGGCTGGCGGGCATCCAAGCTCCACCAATCACGGCCTAAACCAAGTCGGTCGGTGAAAAATCATTAATATCTCATTAATTACGATTATTCTGTGGACTTTTAGATTTGAAGAATGAAGAGTGGACCTTCAGCAACTTTCACATATAATTTTTAGTTCTGTAAACCCTCTCAATAATTAGATATTAATAATTTTATTACGAGATGTCGGGAACGATACCACATACCGTCAAGTATCTTTTGGGTTTATCAATAATTTCGTAGCTTTCCATTAAATTCCCATGCAACTAACTATATTCATCTGAAAGGCAACACCTTTAGCTACATTCTTATATAAGATTTATTAACATATTCCGTGTAGTTTAGGAGTTATTAAACATTCTTTAGATGAGTATTACAGTCGTCGCATTCAAGCGTTACACATTTTCGTTATTTCTATAGAAATGCGTGATAAATTATACACTTTCAAGGATGAAGAATGTAGAGTGGACTTTTATCTATATTCTGCAATTAGTTTTGTAGCTTAAGTCGTGTAGTTTATTAGATATTAGCAATTGTTTATAAGAGTTGACTACGCTCGAGTACGATGAATTGGGGACGCTCCCATATAATGCTTAATAACTTCTAAACTAAACTGAATATGTTAATAAAAATTATAAAAGAATGTAGCTAAAGGACCTGCCTTTCAAACGCATGTAGTTATTTGCATAGGAATTTAGTAGAAAGCTATGAAATTATTGAAAAACCGGAAAGATACTTGACGGTATGCGGTATCGTTTCCGACATCACGTACTAAAATGATTAATAACTAATTATAGAAAGGGTCTAGAGAACTAAAAAGTATATGTGAAAGTTGCTGAAGGTCCACTCTTCATTCTTCAACTCTAAAAGTTCACAGAATCATCATAATTAATAAGTTATTAATGATTTTTCACCGACCGACTTGATTTAGACCGTGATTGGTGGAGCTTGGGTGCCCGCTGGCCAATAGGAAGCGTTCTCTTTCTGTCCTTGTCGCACTCTAGTGCGTTCCTTGTCTAACACCTCTGTTTACATTCTGTTATCCGATTAACGAGTCGTTAGCTCGCGAAGCCAAACGCGAGATGGCGTTAGTCTCCCCCCCACTTTAATGTCCTTGTCTATCCATATGTCTTTCCTTGTCTAACACACGGTACTAATACTGTTCTTGTCTACCCCTATTTCTTTCCTAGTCTAACACACGATACTTTTGCTATCCTTGTTTATCCCCATTCCTTTCCTTGTCTAACACACAGTACTATTGCTATCCTCGTTTCTCTCTACCGAAAAATTGTAAAAATCCTGAAATTCAACCAGAAAACTTCGAAAATTGCGTGAAAATAGCGTGGAGAAGATACTGAAGCAGCTTATGTCGTTAATTTATTAAAATTTCCATTTTATTTCCAATTACTCTAATCGTTGAATAATTAGTGTTTGTTGTTAAATTCCTTGTTTAATTCTTATCACTATAGCGTAGTGATACTACACCAGTCACAATCGATACAGTAGGATGTGACACGAAAATGGTAGTAGGGCTCTAAAGCCCCCCTAGCTTGTAACAAAAAAATACATTGGATGACTGGATCCATTACACTTTACACCTTATCTGTGCCTATACCTCGTCTGTGATAAAATCAATTATACACCTGTTATTTAACTACTTCTGGTTACTTTAATTTTATCACACCGTGTACATTGCACACTGATAGATGGCACACTTAGTATCACCTTTTTAACGATAAACCTACACCAGTTCTTTTTTGCCGACGAAACTGGTTGGTACAGTAGCGGGAAATCGATGAATGTAAATGATGTAAAATTCCGTAAAAAAAAAGATATATTTACATAGCAAATAATACATACGAACAAAATAACGTTAGTATAAACTACAAACGTATAAAATACAATTATAAAAATTGATAACACGTTTATTCGCAAAACTAAACAAGATTCCTACAAAAACACGTAATACCACTTACGTCATAGCCTGCGAATGACTTAACCTTAATGCATTCTTTCGTTCAACGATACACTCGAGGTGTTTGGGTTCGAAAATGACTCGAAGACCTTGCGTACAACAATTCTTATCACCGACACGCCATACAAACCTAGGCAATAAACTTTCGATACAACGTCAAGCGAATACAAACTCGATAACAGGAAAAATTATCAAAAAAACAAAATGGCGATGGGTCAAAGAAGACCCGAAGACCTCGCTGAGGTTAACCAGTTAATAAATTCGTGCAACACGGTTAGATTTACCTTGTATCGAACGAAATCGTACGTGAAATCAATGTATTGCTACCGGAGCGAACTTAAATATCGTCGAATACATCGGGGTGGTGGAAAATTTTCGAAAAATTTTCGCAGAGCAGTAAAATCTGTCTCGCGGGTATAGTTTCGATAACTCAATAAAAAGGCGAAGGACTGAAAAGTAATCGTGTATCTAAAGGAGGAGGATCCCGTTTTCCAACGGGATACGATTTCCTCTCCTCGGTCTTCTTTCTTTCATCCCCCGGTTTCTGGCGGGTGGAGCAAAAACGAGCGTCCAGAGGGTAATCGGGAGAGGGAATACCGAGGTATGATACCCCTCTGATTCGTTTTACGATGGTCGTTTCCTCGAATTAGGACGGAATAAGAAAGAATTCGTGAATCCGCTGATTTCGGCCAATCCTACTTTATCCCGCTCCCTCCAGCGTGTAATATAGACGCGAGTCGTATAAATATGGCAAAAGTTCGTGTATGTAAATGTACGACGGCATGTTGGAACTGAAAACGAGCTTTTGCAATTGTTCCTTATAGCGTATCTTTATTTTCGTGAACAACCAGCGAATGGAGTAGTGGGTAGATACGCGTAACTTACACGTAGTAGTTGATATTAGTGATGTACTTTTCATGCAAACACGATTAGGATAGAAGATCGATGCTCGATTCGTTGGAAGATTTCTAAGTCAGTGGAGTTGTACCTTTAACCCTTTCGCTGCGGCAAATTTTAGTTCATTCTGGGGAAATTTGTAGACGGCAGATGCTCGACTAATTTTTGTCTTATTTTCGTTTTACTCAGTTATTGTGAAAGTGCGCAACAGATAAAATTAAAAATTAAATTAGGGGAAAATTAAGGTAATACTAGCACATTTTCGAAGCGCCTATAAGCGCTAACGGCAGTAAAAGGGTTAAACGGATTGGAGACAAAAACACAGTAGTAAGGGAACATCTCGAATTGATAATCAGTGATTTTGATGAAACTTCGATTTACGATAGTACTCAATTAAATATTCGACACGTGCCTTTTTTAAATGTAAATTACCCACGTTGGAGGAGTGAAAATCGCCGGGAAAAGTAGGGGTAGTAAACATATTTGGTTTAACATATCGAAAAGTGTCAAAAATAGAGGAATACCGTAATTTCACGAATTTTGCATTGTCGAATTATAAAATTTCAGGCGTGAAAGTTGGGAGTATTAAAAATATTTCATTTAACATACCAAAAAGTATCAAAATTCGAGGAATACCGTAATTTCACGAATTTCCCATTGTCGAACGACAAACTTCAGCTCGCGAATTAATCAGCTACTTATTAAAAGGGTTAACCGAGGAGTGAGAGATCGGACAATCATCGTTCGAAAGTGTTAATTTTCGCTCGATACGTGACATTATGGTATTTCCTAGGGACGAACGAGAAGTTGACCGTTCTAAACAGTCTGAACATTGAACGATACAGAGCACCTATGGTCACCGGCACGTGCTGACATATGGGCTTTAGGGCTTTGTCGGTATCCAGTGGTCTCTTTGCGGGGGTGGTAAATGGGGTGTCATCGTGTTAAATGGCCGTGATGCCCGCGGATCCATTCAAGGCATTGCCCTTACCAAGACTCAAAACCAATTCTTGCGGCTAATTTTCACCGTTTATACGTTTAATTGCCCTTCCAAGC